ATGCCACCATATCTGAGCAAAAAGCACAAAAGGGTGTCATAGTTACTAGGGCTTCTCGTTTACACAAAAAACAAGCCTACTGAGTAAGCTCCTGTCTTTTATTTGTTTTTCAGTCATGAGGGTGGTTACCATTCACATAATGTCTGAGTACACCATCGTTTTTGGGTGGTGTTCTTATAAAGGTTGAGAAGTTGGTAAATGTTAACTTTGACTTCTTCCTTTTTTTTTAAGGGGAATAAATAGCAAATCATTTTTAAAGATTAGATGCTGCACCATTGGATATGTTTTAAAGATATTGGGGTTAAACTTAATGTAAGCCACCTTAGCCACCATGACCACTCTTTGAAGTATTAGGACAATCAGGAATGTTTTATTTTTACAATAGCTCTTGGGAGCTGTAACAATTGGTTGGCCCCTAAATCACCGGAAACATCAGGAAGTTGTTGGAAGTATCCATTTCCTATCTCACTTCCCCTGATAGCTGTTGGGGCTTTGGTAAAGCACTGATAACCCCAGTGTGTGTGTTTTCACCCTCAAACATAGAAAGCGTTACTGAAAGTTAAGATGAGCACCACACAAAGTGGATGATTCGCAGCTGCAGTCCCACTGGCTGTTTTCCCTTACCTTTTCATTCAACCCCGGGGATAACAATTACACATAAAACCTGTCGAACGTATCCAACCTTGCCAAAGCATTACCCACGGCGCTCCTTTTCAACTGGTGACAATGAATTGCAGGCTGCAGGCAAAGATAAAGAATGGGCCAGAATGGTTCAATACGACTGTAAGAAATCACCTAGGTGTATCTTTCTTCATTTGGGTTTAACCACTGGAATGAAGGCTGCAATTAAGGGGCAAACACTATCAGGTAGAGACAGCCATATCCAATTGAGGCATGCTCTTGTCCTCTATGACATCATTGTCTGCTGACGAATACAGATAGGCACCATCATTATAGGGTGGAGTTTGCAACAAGCTTAAATTACTCTAAGCACACATCTCGTGTGTCAGGTCAGCACTGACTAATGATACTTTATTCTTAAAAGTCAATGAACAACCCTTGAATAATTAGCGAAGCTTTAGAAAGTACTAATACCAAACATAGAAATGGAGAAAAGGTGAAACAGGAAGTAGAATAATGAGCATTCAGCAAGATAAGATTGTTATCGTAGTGATCTTTGCTCCAGCTTTCTCTCCTTATCTTAGATTTGAGAAACATCCTGCGTGTGTTCTGATTACAATGTTCTGCTTGGTTGCCCTTTCCTAACACACGCGTGTTCGGGCACAAGGGCTCTGCTCAAAGTCCAGTAAGTCATAGCAAGAGTGATTCACCAGGTAATGAACACTGCTCACTCTTCCACAGAAAAGGTGGGCAACTAAAGTCAACAACCTCACATGAACTAGTTCAGAGCTCGACTACTTCTTTATATAGGAAATACAACATAGCAGCTGGTGGGCTGGCTGTCTTGGCTTCTGTATGCATGGAGAAACCATTCTAATTTGCACTCAAGTAATAAACAACATTTGATTACATTTACACATTCTGCATAGAGCAAACACACGATTATACCATCTGTATGTCTCACACAGCCCATATCCTGTTGTGACCCGTTGACAACACGCCTAGGAGTCCGTATCCAGGGAAAATAATTCTCCTCAGCCGCCCAAATCAAGGCTTTGGACATTAAAACAACTGTGGTAATGTCAGTGGGTGGGATTAGATCTGTGCCATCAGACAACTAGGCAATGGTTTATCTTTTACAATATCAGATCCTAACAGTATTATTCAAATTCATATCCAGCTGACTGGCATAATTTCCACCCGACACGGCTCTGCCTATTTTTCTTTCCCTTGGATCCAATCCCTTCAAAAGCAGTGCTATATCATACTGCTAAATGTTAAGCTCTCAGACGTTGGGATTGTAATAGTGTCTGCTAGAGAGAAGAGCTGGCCTTGCACTTTGCTGACAAACAAAAGTCAGAGAACAGCCAAAACAGCAGGACTTGTTTACTTGGCAGAAATAAAGTAGGCCTAAGCCTTTCATCCTGTGCTTTACTGTGCCAATGTGGCTCTGTGCGGAAAGAAGGGCAACCGACGCCACCCAAGGCGTCAAGCGAATGCCTTCATAATGTGTTTGAAGCTAGAGAGGCTGCTTGGAAAGCTACTCAAGGCTGTAGCCTACGATAGAAGGCTAGCTAGTTAGCCTGGAACACATGCACATTCTCAAACCCACACACAAAACATAGGCCTTAACGTCTTTTCCTTTTTTTCCCACCCCTTGGTAAAGCTTTGTAGCTATGCCAAGGGCCTATGCCTCCAATGCAATTTTAGAACATGTAATTACAGAGACTTACACGTTGTAAATTTAAACATTTTTCAAAAACCTGTAATATGCGGTGAGAACGCCATATTGAGTTGATAATGTGGAGAGATATCAAGCCTATTTTCATTTCCTTTAACACCACAGTTAAGGAAAATAAAATATAATTTGTAATGGTTCCTCAAGACTATCCAGCTCTAAACTAAAAACATTGGCTAGTTAAACGTGTTCCTGTCGTTGTAACTGGCACTCGGCATAAATCACTGTCTTCTCTGGTAGGCAGCTACACTGGGCTCCCTCTTTTCTCTTGTTTTCTTTTCCCACCCACATGTCTACCTCCATTCTCTGCTGCAAATCTTCAAAAACAAAGAAAAAGAATCCAAGGAACAGATCAGTGATTTAATGAAGTGTTCTTTGGTAAAACCACTCTTTGTTGAACCTGAAGCAGGGGGCTCTGGTGTCCCACTGATAAAAGTTTTAACATGCTTTGATATGCATGAATGGTTCTTATCCTTATGCCTCAGTGTCCTACATAACACCAGTTTTTTTCAAAGAGGTCTTCTGACACAAACATTTCAAAGATACAACCAATTTTATTGTAAAAAGGTTCTGCCCACCATGGACTTGACCATAAGCTTTATTAAAACGGTAATCCTATGAGAGGGAAATAAGGACTCCAGTTATGTGGCCAAGAAGATTTTCAACTGCCTAATAAGTGATTTACTTTAAAGTTTACCGTGGGCATTTACCAAAATCGCAAAACAATGCACAGTGGGCCTGGATGAAGACATTGAATTCATCCTCTACAGTGGGAAAAGAGGTCAAAGTTTAACATCAGCTGCTTCCAAGTAAACATTCCTTTCCAGTTATGGTTCCATAATGTCACAGGTTTCTAGTCCATAGAAAGGCAAAAAAGACAGAATTGATATGGAGGAAACATGATTGCAAAGATATTTTCTTCACAGCTCAAGGTCTGCCAACTTTCTTATAACAGCGCTGTGTATGACTGCTTTGTTGGAAGATAAATATTCAATTTCCTAGCACTTTCATTTTACGCCCCCCAGAGTTCTTATCAGCATGTAAGCTGATCTTGTCATGCATTCAGACGAAACACCAACCCCTATGTATCGGCATACCTAAGGTCTCCTCTATTCTTTCTCTTTTATTTTTTCTTTCATTTCCTGTCCATTGGGGAGTGCCTAGAATTACTGTGGGGCTTTTGTGGGAGGCATGCAACATGATGAATCCTTATTTGGTTGGAAAATTGACATTGCCACTTCCAACAAAAATACCTCCAGTTTGTTGATGTGACAACCTTGGGAAACAGGACCACACACGTCACGGAGGACGAAACAGAGCAACTGCTTCACTGACTGTTACTCATTTCAGTTTCATGAGCACTAACCTGTGTGTAAGGTAGGTAAGAAAGACAAACTCATTCAGTAAGAGTAAAACATTCAGAGACATGCTTATTTTGCTACTGTGAACTATGTTAGTCAAAACGAAAGTTATCTGTACACTTACTGATGGTCCTTGGTTTATTTAATATTTTTATAACCCCAAAGATTAGTGTTTTCCCTAGTTGATTGTTGGGGGAGGGGTTAAGCTTATGGCATTTTACCCTGCATACAATTAGCCTAGCAGCTAGGGACTTTCCTTGCACTGAGCTCTTCCACTCTTAAGTCACTGCAATTCCCATTTTTGAAACAGAGCAGGTATTGGTAGCGAGAGCAACAAGTGAGTGGAGCGCAGTGTTTGAATGCCGTCTTTTGAGTCGCAAAGCCCTTTGTGTGTGCAAAACCCTGCACTCGGTATAAAACAGAGATCAAATGAGAGAGTAACTAGCACAACAGTAAATGACAGCAAAACGCAGATAAGACTCACGCACTGAGATGAAGTGAAACAAGTGCACCTGAATTAAGTCATTTTTTCTTTTAGCGAGAGTGACGCATTAGTAAAGGCTAAGTAATGGCTCTGATTCGGTTTATATGCACATGTAGACCACATTTCTCAACGGAGTCAAGCATAACACAAATAAATCTGTAATCTACAGACCAGCTCTGAATGTACATGGAGCTTCACTTTGCACCTTTTACAAGTATTTGTTCTGCTACTCAACTAAACATATCCGGCTCCTGCAACTTTAAAAGATCCCAATGAAATATTAATCATCACACCATTTGCAGAGTACCATATGAGAGAACACTTTAGTGTTAGAGTGGAAAAATCCCCTCTAGGCTCAACCCACTGCTGTCCTGGGTTAAAATATTGTGTTCACACTGCTCTTCCTTTTCACAAGAACAGAAACAGGAACCTCACAGCAGCTCATCCGCTTGTCAGCCATGCAGTACAGCATATTTTAAAACCTGGCCTGTAGTCTCAAAGGATAATTTAATATGTAGCACAATTATTTATACATAGCATGTTTGCCAGATTTGTGAATTGTTACGCAGTGGCTTGCCTAGGATCAGGCAAAAGTGTTGCAGGGTATACAGTATACAAATGAATCCCTGCGTACATGCATGCTGATTTTCTATGGTTGTTTAGTTTTTATTTTAAACTAGCAGACATATTTAAGGTAGCCTTCTTTCCTAGAATTCAGTATAAACTCATATGTCAGAGAAAGGGACTTTCTACTCCCAAAAAGCAATTTATAGTGACATAGAAACAGCAATCTTACCGGTCCTGGCGTTAACGGCAAAGAAACCCTGGGGATTGCCGCTGGTGATCCTGTAGGTGAGTTTATCACTGGCCTTGGCATCTGGATCCACTGCATTTATCTGGATGATTGACACATCTTTAGGGGAGTTCTCCATGACAGACGGGTAGTAGACAGGTTCTGAGGTCTGCGGTGCATTGTCGTTGACATCTTGCACTTCGACGTACACCTCAACAAAGGTCGAGAGCGGCACCACGCCACGATCCATCGCATAGACTGTGAGCCAGTAGTGAGGTGTTGTCTCGTGATCCAGCAGTTCTTGTGTTCGGATAATACCTAGGGGATGAGAAAGACATAAACAAAGTCTTTAGCTTGTGTCATGTCAGGGAGGATTTTGATGTGCAAGACATGCCATGAGTGTCACATCACTGCCTGAACTATAAGTGATCTCTAAGATCAATTTCTAGCAATAAAGGGAACAGAGGCTGGATCACCAGCTGTCCCTGATCATGTTGACTGAAGGCACCTTGACTGAAACATGTCAAGGAGGTATATCAACAACAACCAATCAGTGCTCTCCTGTTTACATTCTCTGGCAGGGAAGTTTTTTCACTGCCATGTGGGGGCTGTAGCCGTCAGCTGTGCAAACAAAAGAGCTTTCAGAGGCCTGTGAGTTGTATAAGTTGACAATGGTTAAAGAGTGGAGGATGGGAAGGCTTGCAAACTGAAAGAACTAAGTGCTGGATATAAAATGATAGGACTGACTGACAATACAAAAATAACTTTGGTGCAAATAGGTCTCAATGCACCAAGTAAAAAAAGGTACACATTTTGTAACATCAAGGTATATTTTAATGTTAGAAGTAGAACAATGCATTTCTATTGGGCACCGATACATGCTTGAGTTGTAAATGTAACTTCTGCCAACACACATTCAGATGTTTGAATGGTTGAAACTGGCAGGAAGTGTGAATGTTCTTTCTGAGGCTTTAGTGCTTTCAATCCCCCACCCAAGCCCACTTACGGCACTCACCAGGTGCTCAGTAAGTACATTTGAACTTTAGGAAAGGGATAAGTGTGTGTGTGAGAGAATGTGTGTGTGTATGTGTAAATAGACATAGGGGAGTTTCAGTTTAAAGGAGAGGGTGTGCACATGTCTATATGTTAATTTACTTGGGAGGAGTATTAATAAATGTGTGAACATGAACACTAATAATCCAATAATAAACAGACTAAGACTTCTGTTTTTAATTCAATGCAAGCACGGAACATGTTGCAACGTGAACCTCATGCAAAGCAGTTACCTTGATTGGTTATTCACTGCAATCACTGTAAACTGGTTTATGCTCAATGCATAACAATAAATTGGGGAGAAAAACAAAAAGCAAAACCTTCAGGAGGCAAAAACTGAAGAAATAGCAGCTGAAAAACCACCATATTAATTGGGTAACTTGCACTTATAAGGTCTCATTATTTCAGCAAGGACAAAATATAAGGCAGGAAAGGGCAAAAATAAAAACACAAATATCTTCCAGACAATGGAATCCTTGACAACCTTAAAAATAACAACCATTTATATGTTTGTGTTATTTGTGATATCTCTATAACCTTGATGAGAGATATAGCTATATTTGATTGTTTTATTATCTGAAAACCAATAAAAGTGAATAACGATATAGGCACACCCATATCATTACCGGGTGTGGTTGTGTCCATTTTGTAGTCTGAGTGTATAAGACACTTACTGGTGGCCCAGATAAGAGCGCTTCCACAAAGCCATACTAATAAGGACATATTTAAGGTTCAAATAGTTTACACAGACAATCTCTCTTTCTGCTGCTGCCTTTGTTCACCCACTGTAACGTGATGAACTGTGGTGAATGACTGCAACTGAGAGCAGCCAAACCTTGTCCCTTGGGTAAAGACACATTTCTTAGAAAAGAGATACAAAATACTTCTCACAAAATTCACAATTTTAACACGGAAGGGGAGTTTGGGGCTACAGCTCATTTATTCTGTCGCCCTGCTTTACTTTACCGTCCCTTTATTTTCAACCTGGGATCCTATCTTGTCATTAGTCATCATTATAGCTCTCTCAACTTGGCTTGAGGCTTGTAATAAGAGGGGTAGTCAGGCAAGGGGAGAATAGGTAGCTCGCTTTAAATGTATCCTAAAGCCAAGAGCCCCATGACAAAAACAACACGGCCAGTATATCAAGAATGCACATTAGACGACTCTGTATAATCAAAGTAATGGTTTCTCTCTGACACACAGAGAGAAACACAACCAAGCATTAGAAAACTCAAAAAATAAGTCAAACTAACAACAGTTTGATTGTAAACATTTAGATACAAATAACGCATTATTGCCTAATTTATAATCTTATTTAAGATGACAACTTGGGAGTGGATCCCAACTGGAAGAAAACATGTGCAGAGATTTGCAAATGTTAAACATAAATAAGAGATGCAGATGCTTATGTGAGGGATAAATGTTTCAGTCACCGGTAGAAAGTGGAGAAAGGGGACTTTTACTAGGGAAGTTAAAGATACGAACAAAAGTGAAGACAGTATGAGGTGCGGGTGTGAGGAGAGGAGGAAGGCCTAGAAGCAAACAGGAAAATATGAGGCATTTTCTGAGCCTGTGCCAGGAAGATGCCCATGCTTGAGTGCTCATGTGTTTGACCGGCAGACACCAGGGTATCAGACTTATTCTACTTTCTTCAGGGTCATGCTCACATTCCTTCCGCTTGTATCTATCAGCATACCTGAGATACATTCATATGTTGCAGATGAAAAACGTGCAAAATGAATACAACTGCAGCTGCAAGAATAATAATGCTATCTACAATTCAGCCTTTTCACACCAAACGTCAATGCAAACGTGCAGAAAGAAGAACATATTTTTCTGTTCATATTTACCTCAGAACAAAACTAAACAAACAACTTCACCAGAAATGTGTAAAGGTAAACAGCATAAGAAAATATATCTGCCAGTCTTTGGCTGACTAGTTAAAAACAAAGCACATGAAAGACGAATCTGAAGAATTTAGTGGCCACACCCATCCCATCCCATATACCTAGCCTAAGCCTACCCACTTAGGCAAAGGCAAAACCTGCCCGTAGGCCGCAGAAAAAAGAAAAACAGGCCGTGCAGCAGCCTCTGCCAGTTTGCTTTCCGCTTTTTTTTGCTCTTTTCTTTTCCCTCTGGCTTTGTTCTTCAAAGTTACTTTAGCACAGTGGCAGTGTGGTGAAGCCTTCAGACAGCCAAAGGATTTCAAATGATCAGGAGTAGCAGGTATTTGATGTCTTTAAATCACAGATACACAAAGAGCGTATTTTAAAACAACTCACAGTAACAATGTAGCCAGAGTTTAAAGAGAGGGACATTTGCTTTTCAAGAGCTGTTTGAAACCATTGACTTCATGTCACTATTTGTTGAAGCGTACTAAATATTGTACATGTTGTCCATGAACTATTATAACTTTTTTTTTTTTTAAAGGATTGTCACTTGTGCTGATTTTGTCACTTCTGCCCTGACTCTGGAAACTGAGTTAGGATCGTTCACCCAAAATGCTGTGATAAGGTGCTGCCGGTTCAACATACTTTAGGTTGTCCTTTTTCATTCTGCAGTTAAAAAAAAATGGGGTCTTCCTTTGAACTACCTCCGGTAATTCCGCTCACCCCTACCCCACATTCCTCCGCCTTCTCAGGCCTCTCGCTCACATGCTTACATAAACTTTCTCAGTGCTTTCAGCCTCCTTCTCTTTCCACGGCCCTGGCAAAATGCTTCAGATTCCACTACCACGTTGTAGGGCCTGTTGTAATAGAAAAAGTCCTTAAGTAAGCTTTCTGTTACCCAGCAACTCAATATCACATCATCCCAAAGTTCCCAGACATCTGTAGCCAAGATCCCTCCTTCAAAGACTTCAAGCCAGTTGGAATGAATGCTTAAAACCAAAACATTTGAAGTATGGTCCAAAGCAAAAATATGTTCTGTCGTTATACATTCAAAGCATTGCTTATTGCATTGATTTGATCATTTCTGTGCAATATGATGAACCGGTTATTAGTCAAAGTTAAAAGCTTTAGTCACTGTTAGTCCAAAAGATGTGTGTGGACTGGATTGCAGGGGCTTTTCAGTTGACTTGTAATGGTTTTGATGAATCGGCATAGTTTCAAAATTGTTTTTAACTATTGGCTAGTTCTAAGCTAAAGATTGTGAAATATTTTTCCAAATGTGTAGTATCTACACAGTAACTTTGCTTTTCAGAAGTTTATATTGGAATTCAATGTTTAATCATCTTAAGAGATCATGGTCAGATTTGTATGTTAAAATAAATCTTCCATATTTTTCAAGTTAAACTTGCATTCATACATATAAATAAATGCACTGTACATTTATACTGCTATTACTAGGTTTACAGTAAATGATATCATGGCTCTCTGACTTGTGTTAAATCCTCTGTTTTGTTGGAAAGGCATCAAGGGGTCATAATACATTAGGATAGGTCTAGGAGATAATCATATTGGGGATACAGTATCACCCAAAACCCATGTCTATCTTATCCCTTTCAATGTCCCGGCCTATTGAGCCAGTAAGCCATTTCCACTTCATGCATCACTGGGCACGCGGTATACTGTCAGTACTGGCAGAGAAATGGCTGACAGCAGCTGGCTAAAGGGAACATGGTACTTAAGATCAGCTCCATCAATTTACCAGCATAACAATAGAGGACACTGATTGTGTTTGTTTTTTATATTTACGGCCACTACAAAGGTTGTTTTAGCTTTTAATGTAAAAGAGTTTGTGATAAAAACTAGAAAATCATATATTTGTACACTGACTTCGAGCCTGGGAAAGAGACTGAAAAAATACTTTGGTAAACTTGCTACATCTCTGAATAGGTTTTCCTTTCCTCATTTTAAAAAGAATGCCTATTAATTCCAGTTGAGATAGCTTTTTGGGACTGACGATACAAAGCATCCATTGTTACTGGGAGCAGCGTTTTCAAAGGCCTTTGAAGAGGCCAGAGCAATACTTCTTGATTCAATATATCGCAGTATTATTTAGAAGCAGTTATTATGCCTCACAGAGCTCTCTCCCTGTGCCTAACAATGAGAGAAACACATCTTTCTACACTATAGCTCTCTCTATATTCCCATTGTACATTGTAACCCCAGCTGGCCCAAGAAAGATGTAGACTTTGAGCTGACAGCAAACAATTTCCCTTTCACATAGGTAGAGATTCATGCTACTGCCCCAGGTACGACTCCACAGACCATGAAACGATCTCCTGTTGGCTTCCCATCCATGAGGCAAACCCAATCATCGTA